CAACAGGCTAATGACTCGCTTTGAGAGGTCTCAAAGTGTTGTGAATCAGGAGGCAACTATGAAAGTGGTCCAGAGGACCTCTTAGAGCAGTGGTTCTCAACCTGTGGGTCCCCAGGTGTTTTGGCCTACAACTCCCAGAAATCCCAGACAGTTTACCTGCTGTTCTGGGAGTTGAAGGTCAAAACATCGGGGACCCACAGTTTGAGAAATACTGTCTTATAGTGAGGCTTAATTGCTGATATTGTCTCTTCTGGCATCTCTAAAGCAGGTACTTCTGGATCTTTATTGCCTCAAGGATCTTGTGCAGCCACTGTTTTAATCAGTGAGTGTTGTATAGAATGTAGTTGTAGATACCTCTTGGATTTAGGAATCTGTGACATGATTTGCAATGAGTGATAATTCTCCCTCACCAAACAGTCAAATTTCACAATGTTTCGAACACTTGCACTTTAATTTGAAAACAATACATTAATTTGAAAACAGTCATAAGAGATACATCATGGGCATTCATCTTTAAAGCCAAACGGACTGCTTGAACCAGGAAAATGTTCCAGCAACCCTTCCTGTAACAGCTGTGCACATACATACACAACCTCAAATAAATTAAAATTTTGTGGATGTGGTTTCCTCCCATCCACATTGTAGTTGACCATAGCACAAAATGTCAAAGCCTATTAAGATGACCCATCTCTAGATTTGTATGGAGCCCATTCAGTTATGAAATTTTCTGGGGTGATACAGATGCTAGAGATAACTCTTTTGATATAGTTGTGGATATGTAGAGTGGGTGGTTAAAATTAATCCTTGCCCCACCCTCTTGTATTCTGCATAGTAAAAACTATTGAGTACAGATATATCTGAGTAGAAAAAATGATATGTTCTTGAACATTACTTCTTTAACAGAACATTTGATACAAAGACAGAAATAATATGGGAAGAAAAATGATAGTTTGCTACACCAAAAATGTGGTGAAAGAGAAGGAGGGGAAGAAGAAGAAAAAGGAGAAGTAGTAGTAGCAGCAGCAGCAGCATTGTTGTTGTTCAACATGTAACAGCAAATGTTTTATTTAAAACCAACAATGTGCACTTACAGAATTAAACAACCAGATCAGTTGAACTTTGCACAAATAGACAAAAAAGTTTGGATTTCTAGAGACTACTTGAAAGTTCCTTCCAAAATGCAACCTGGAATGCCATTTTTCTTTCAACAGCCATCATTTTTCTAATGATTTTCACTTTGGTGATCCACTGTAGCACCATTTCTGGCCTTTTGAATACCTGGGCATGAAAATGTTGATGGCAATGGATGGTTGGCCTCCTGAATTGGTATTTGCACTTTCTCCACTCTATGGAATAATCCTTGACATCCACGGGTTATATCAAAATCCATAATTTTGGTCCCCAAACCACCCCTTGATGTTTACATGAGGTCAGCTTTATGCTTTTTCAAATGCCTTTCTCTGTGTTTAGTTCAGGAAAATGGCTTGAATTGTTTGTGGCTAACAAAACAACAAAGTAAACGAGTCCTTACACAACACATGCTGACTATTCTTCTTAGTATGTTGTGTAAATAAATACTACTTTGCCAAAACTCCAGAGCATTTTCTGACTTCTCAAATTAGGGATCAGAAGCCTGTGGCCGTTGTCTGGATGCCGAGGAGTCACTTCTGGCCCAATGCGGGGTACAGAGCCAGTGTAGAAAAGTTCCCAGATTTCTTTCCCCATCTGGAGATGTCCCCAATTTCACCTTAAATTTCACATGCACCATGCAGGAGGCAATGGTTAGTCAAACTATCTTTTGATTACTATTTAAATTGGTTTGCACAATAACAGGGAAGAATCTGAGAAGCAGACAGTTACTGGACTGCAGTGGAACATAAAAGAAAGGAGAACATTGTATCCATACACCCTCATAAAATTTGTAATCAATGATAGTAAAGATTTTTAAAAACTGTCATACAGATAATTTTTGAGCTACAGCCTCCGAGCAGCAGAATATTCTGTACACAAGCATTCCCTGTCTTTGATATTCTTCCATTTTACTTAACATAAAAATGTCCTTTGTTACTTTCAGTCTTTAGTCTTCCAGTTCAAGGACAGTTGTGGGTGTATCAGCACTAAGAGTGCTTTTGAAAAACTGACGAGAGTAAAATTATATACCCTTTCACATTACAAGATGAAAACCAGGAAACATGAGGCTAAATAATATCAGACTGTTATCAAGATGGCCAAAGTTATCATTGAGGAAGAATGCAAAGCTATGAGAGACTGCAGCAATTTGCATTTGCCTGAGTCTCCAAAGAAGGGCAAGATTCTGTTCCATCATCTCCTGTCTTCTCCTTTATCACACCAGTCTGCTATCTCATCACAATCATATTACTGTAGAAAATGAAACATGCCAGTTTAGGCACATTCACACAGGTAAATTTACCCTTCATATGACACTTTCACCACAGTTCGAGAACGGATCCTGCTGGATCCCATCAAATGACTTATATCTACTTCTGCCAGGGCTTTGTCCCTGAACTGTGGTGAAAGCATTGTAAGAGGGAGCAATGTGAACATGGGAGACTTCCTATGTTCTTGTTGCCTACAACAAGGTGAGCACAGGGGAAAGCTAGGCAGCAGCACTTTCCCCCATAGGGTGGGGAAGACGTTGCTGCACGTGATGCAGGTCATGGGGTGATGGATTCCTCTGCTGTCTGCCAGATTTACCTGGTGAATCCCTCTGTCACCTGCGTTGGGTGACTGAATGTGATGAGGTCCAATATCACATCTCTCTACATTAGCGTAATAGCACTGCTTTGGCAATATATGGACCAATTATCTGTAATTCTACCAGCCTCCATAACTTTGATTCCTGCCTTATGTTTATCCAGTTTTTCCTTCCCCTTTTGTGATATTTTAATTTCAATACAAGGGGAGACAACAGAAAGACAAAGACGGGGTCTGGTAAGAGAAACTGGTACATTCTAGAAGTAGCTGAAAGAAGCGGGATGACAGAGGATTAATTGGGACTGTCTCTGCCAAATTATATTCTTTGAACTGGAACTACAAACTCTTCATAACTGGATGGCAAACATAATTGGTTAAACTCTTATTGCCATTGTTAGGATTCTTCTGCCTCAAACACAAACTTGCAAAATCTGACACGGATTCTTAATGCCATGCCCTTTTCTCATTGACAGTGGCTGATGTCCTCCTGTTCAGCTGTAACTAGACTGTTTTTGTTTCCAGAAAGGATAGAATAATTAGGTGCATGAGTATTTTTTTTTTGGTTTACTGAGAAATGCTGTTTCTTATATCTTCTTCAAAATATATTAATATCCCTTACAATCTGAAAAAGTATATCACATATATTACACAGGGTTTCATTCCTTTCTCCTCCCCAGGGAACATATAGTTGAATCATCCGTCACTGGCAAAGAAGTATTCTGTACCCTAACACTTGAAATCACTATGATCAGTAAGAAATAGATGTCTTATTCTAAGCCATTGATCCTTCTCATCCAATAATATGTGTTTTGCCTGGCAGTTTGTCTCCAACATTTCACAAAAAAGTTCCCAGCTTTGGTACCTGAGATTTTTTTCCTTAAGACATTGCCATGCTGTTCAAAATCTCAAAATGAAAGTAAGCTATAGGGACGGTTGATGCAGTTTGAGTATCCCTTAGTCTGAAGTGTTTTGGATTTCAGATTTTTTTAAAAAATATCATAATCCTTTATCTACATACACATACATAAGGGAGATGTGACCCAAGTCTAAACATGACATTCATTTAAGTTTCACATATACCTTATATACAGAAGGTAATGTTTTCAAATAATTTTGTGCCTGAAACAAGGTTTGTGTACACTGAACCATTAGAAAATAAAGGTGCTGTTACCTCTGCCACCCATGTGGACAATTTTGGATTTTGGGATATTTTCAATTTTGGATGCTCAATGTATTCTGTTGTTGTTGTTGATTTATTTAAGACTTAAGACATACCCATTCCTTAATCTTGGGCAGGGCTTGCTGTGCATCATTTGATGGTACTCAACAGGCCCCATCCTTGCCATGAAACAAAATGGCAAAATGGGGCAACAATGCCCCATGTGAAGAGTGTCTCTGTACTGTAGAATGAATGTGGTTTGACTCCACCTTAACTGCAATGGCTCAGTGCTATGAAATCATGAAAGTTATAGCTTTCAATCATCTTTAACTTCCTCTGCCAAATAGTGCTAATGCTTTACCAAACTTCAACTCCCAGGATTCAACAGCATTCAGTATGGAAGCTAATGTGATATTAAACTGCATTCATTCTACAGTCCTTTGTTTGAGCCATTCCACAAACTTCGAAATAGTACTAAGTAGAGAGAGACTGGTGGAGACCAAACTCTAGAAAATCCCCCAACTTTGCCTGAAGTGGGGCAAAGCAGGTTTAAACCAACCAAACAACAAATAAACTGGGATGTTCACTGGAAGCAGCTGTGTGCTATGAAAACAGTTAGACATATTTCTATTCCAGGTGAGTCTGGAGTTTGGAGCTAGTTTAAGCAAGTCCCTAAAGTTTTGCCCAAGGATCACCACTGATGTTTGGCAGTGTCCCTCCAAACTGGGACTGTTTTTAAACTAGGATGTTTGAGTGCTGAAAAGATACAGCCATAGCTATGAGCGAAGAAATGCTGTCAGTCACATAGCCCTTCACATTTATATTAACATGATTTACAGAAATGGCATTAGACCCAGCACAGAACATTCTCTTCCCTTTCTATAACAGGTTGCATGGCTACAAGGAATTATCTGTTTCCAAGTGAAGCTAAATACTAAACCTCTTATTACAGATGGGCAGCATTACTAGGTACATGGATGATTTTGCAAAACATTTTCTGTGTTCATAAGATGTGCGTGTAGCTATAGACGTAATATCCATTGGCATGCTGTAGTGTGTGCTGTCCTTGGGAGACAGAGCTTGCTTCTTTTCTAATGTAGCCATTTTTTTCATGTACCACCCACAGAGTTGTATGAAAAAGCTGTGATGGGAAAGACGACTTCACTTTTCCTCACTTTCCTGTTTTGAAGGATTCTTCACGGACACAAAAGAGGTAAATGTAATCAATATTTACTTGTAAGGTTGATGTTCAAGTCTGTGTCTACTGCATTCTCTCTATATCTATCTATTAGGCCTGTGCGGTTTCGTTCGTTAATTTCGTAATTCGTTAAACATTCGTTATTTTTTGCATTTACGAAATGATAACAAAACACTTTTTTAAACCCGGAAGGGTTTAAAAATAACGAAGCGGCATCCCCCATCCTTTTAACGAGTTTCCGCCCGTTTCGGAAATTGGATGGAGGATGCTGCTGGTGCCTGGGAGCCAATCCGGCGCTCCGGCGCCCCTTTCTCTTTGCCCCGCCCCTCCCCCGCGAGCGCGCTTTGCCTCCTTGCTTGCTTGCTTGGCTTGGCTTTCCCTTCCCGGCAGAAGGATGGCGAGCAGCGCAGCGACTGCTGGAGCCGCGGCTGCGGCGGCCGAGAAGGAGGCGAGCCAGCAGAGCAGCCTGGGCGCCTACTCGCCCGTGGATTACATGAGCATCACCAGCTTTCCCCGGCTGCCCGAGGAGGAGGAGGCGGCGGCGGCAGGAGGAGGAGGAGGAGGGGGCTCGGAGAGCTGCCTCCGCTCCCGCAAGGAGGAGGATGCCTTCCTCGGGGAGCAGGAGACCGGTGAGAGCGGGAAGGAGGGAAACACCCGCTTGCCTGCCTGCCTGCCTGCCTCCATCCTCCCTCCATCCACGCATCCACGCATCCATCCTCCTCCGAGCATCTTCTCCCTTGGATCATGCCCCCTTCTTCCATGGTGCAGGCTCCCCTGCAGCCAAGGCCACCCTCCTCCTTGCCTCCCTCCCTCCTTCTCCCCTTTCCCTCCTCCCTCCCATGTCAAGCATCCTCTGATCTTCACCAAGGACTCCCAAACTCCTCCTCCTCCTCCTCTTCCTCCTCCTCCTCTAAGGGCTTTGGAGTTCAACTCCCAGTGGGGACCCCCAAAGGTCATCCAGTCCATCCCCCTTGTTTAGAAGCAAGTTGAGGGAGCCCCCTTAACGAATCGACCCCGCGGCAATAACGTAAGCTTCGGAAATGTTTTGCGCATGCGCGCGGGGGTCCGCCATCTTAACGAATCGATTCGTTAATATTTACGAAATTTTCGTAAATATTAACGGATTGTAGGGGGGAAATTTTGTAATTATTTTAAATATCGAAACAAAAAAACACCCCAATTACAAATCGATTTTAGAACCAAATTTTTTCTTGATCAACCAGCCCTACTATCTATCTATCTATCTATCTATCTATCTATCTATCTATCTATCTATCTATCTATCTATCTATCTATCTATATCAAATGATACAAAGAGTTTAGGGTAAGAGATTGTAATTCTACCCTAAAATACTGGCTTTGCATGCAGAAGGTTCCAGGTTCAATTCCTGGCATCTCAAGTTAGAAAGATCAAGAAGCAGGTGGTTATTTCAACTTTTCCAACATATTTCTTTGTGTTTTATGAGATTATGGCATTTTTGGCACACAAAACAAAACCATGACCTGCAATTGTATCTAAGCATACAAAAGAATAGTAAATATAGTAATATGAGTCAAAGCAATTAAAGAAAGAAGGAAAAAAGAAACTGTCAAATACACATGTAATCAAAGTAAACAGAAATGGTTTTTAATAAACTGAAGAAAATGGTGAAGAGGTGGGGGAAATATTTCAACTCATAATAAAAGCTTAAATAAAATTGGAGCCTTATTTGAAAAGCCGAATGTGGCAAGCCAAAGTGAACTGTGAACATTATATTAGCTTTTTTTATTAGATAGCATGTTTTCAAAAGATCAAAGCAACCAATAGCAACTGTATTTTTTTAAAAATGTTCAAACACAATGAAGTCACTGCAGTTGTAGCAAGAAATAATAGCATTTCCCAGTTTGGGTGGTGTTGCTTACAGCTTGTGGTGAGCACCATTTTTCTTGCACCACCCCCTTCCTCTTTCCTAGGATTCTACACAGTTTTTGTGGGTTCTGGAGAAGATCAAGCCAAGCAAACATTCACGGCAGGAGCCAAGCAAAGGGTTCACTCCAGGAACTGTGTGTGTGTAGTCCTTCTCTTGTAGCTCCCTCATTGTTCAAGGTGTGTGCCTGGCTCCCATCTCTTCTTGTGCTTTTAGCATGGGGATTGAATCCAGTTGGGATAGATGGGTCCTGTGCTTCTATATGTCCTGGCCAGAGGTTACCTTGGAGGATCTCGCAGTGTGGGAAAACATGATCATGTTCAGCGCATGAACCATGTGATGGCTTCTGATTATATTTATTTATTTACAACATTTATATCCCGATCTTTTCACCCTGAAGGGGACTCAGAGTGGCTTACAAGTTGTATGTACATATAATATATTATATTATTAGCATAGCACAATATTAGTATATATGGAACCTCATTCCAGATATACCCAGCAAGTAAACTGAGTGACCTGGTTAATATTGGCCAGCAGTTGCGTCCACTAAATCTTGAATCTGGGCATAAGCACGGGCAAACCCCTTCAGCTATTATTGTTCAGTGGAGCCCCACAATCTCTTTAGTCCACAGATCTATGGCATTTCCCCCACTAAAGACTCCTGAAAGAATTAAAAAAAAGAATATGAAAATTTAGATGACAAGGAAAGGAAGTATGAGGCTAGATAGAATTTCCTAGGGAATACATTAAAATTTGGAGCAAAAAACCCCCTATTTTCTAAGTCATTGGGAGATAGTTGTCCCTCCATATTTGTGGTTTTGACATTTGTAGATTTGATTAAAGTGTTCTCTCTAGGAATCTCTATGTCCTCCAGCATGATTCTGTGGTCGACTTTCTCCAGTCACACTAGAGGACTTGGAGATTTCTGAAGATTTCTGAACAACTCCCTAGAAATCTCTAGATCCTCCAATGCAATCATGATCAGCTTCCAGCAGAAGTTGACCATAGTTATAGAGAGCTGTTCCCTCAGGTAAAAAGAAAAGAAGAAGCAATGTCTTTATCAGTGGAGGGATGATTATACATCTTTGTTTTGCAGATATGCACTCATTGGTTGGGAAGGGCTCAACATCTATAACATAAAAAAATGTGAGGCTGTTGCATTTTTAGCAATGTTTTTAGTCAATTGGAGTTGACACCTTGCTTTGAACATCAGCATTTCATTATGTATTTTATCTAGCCACTATTACTTCAAAGGATATTGAGGAAAGTTCTTAGTTGTTGCTGTTGCTATTGTTATGTGCCTTCAAGTCATTTCTGACTTATGGTGACTCCAAGGAAAACCTATTGCAGGGTTTTCTAAGAAAGATTTATTGACAAAAGGTTTTCCTTTTTCTTCCTCTGAGGTCAAGAGAGTGAGATTTGCCCAAAGTTACCCAGTGGTTTTCCATGGATGAGTGCAGATTTGAACCAGAGACAGTAGTCTGTTTTTGCAATGCTTATCTGACTTGATTGTTCAATTACACACGTGCATGTTGTTAATTTGGAACAAAAAAAATTATGATGAAACATGTTGAACTATTATTGATTATTCATGGTGGGTGAGTCTGTTTTTATTTTTTCCGTGTTATTTCTGCTTCTGATACCAGATTTTCTGTTTGAGGAACTCATTTACTTGATTGGTTGATGTATAACTTATACATTCATTTTTGTTTTTGAAAGACATTTCTGTTTGAAAAACAGTTGGAAAACTTATCCAGTGAGGTCTGATGACATTATGCCTGTTAGCCAGAGAGCACGATCCTTTTACTGTAGACTTGAATAACAAGTTTTTCCAGGGATCAGTGTTTGAGACCTGCCATAGTTCACACTGAATACAGCTGGATACATCCAAATTCATAGCTCTGCCAAATATACTTCCTTCATTTTCATGTACTGGTCAAATACTCCCAGTCAGTGTGTAGACTGTAATGGCTCTGTTTAAAAGGCACTGTGTTTTGTTGTAATCTATATGAAAGCTGGTGATATGGTCGTGCATTCATGCTTCTAAGTCTTCACCGGTTACTACAATGCTGAACATGTATGCGTAAACTGGTGAAAGATGCATTGCATGCCTCAGAAATGTAGATCCTTGAAATGACGTATTCTGAGCCTTAGATTTGCAGATACCTTTCAGAAGAGCATACGCACTATAATTTTCCTGGTTCTCACTGAATTTTGGAGAGTTTTACCTGAAGAGCTTATTGCTCTCCCTTCTAGAGAATATGGATTTGACTACTGCAGTTCATAACTTGATTACTTGGGCTCCATTGAACAGGTCACGTAGCCCTTACCCAAAATACTCCAAAATCTGAAATACTCCAAAATCCAAAATTATCCACTTGGGTGGTGGAGACGGGGCACTTTCTGATTACTCAATGTACAGAGAGTTTGTTTCATGCATGAGAAATGTTTTTTTAATTACCCATTTGGACTGTGTGTATAAGTAAGTATACATGAATCAAGAGTTAATATTGTGTTTAGACATGGGTCCCATATCTAATATAGCCCATTATATACATATATGGAAATACAGGTTTTCCAAAATTACCAAAAAATTGAAAACACTTCTGGTTCAAAACATTTTGGATAAGGGATGTTCAACCTGTACCAGAATACTGAACTTGAAAAATCTGTTTATGATTATAAGTCACTGCATCCCATATCCACCATGGCCACTGATCAAGTTGACTGATGATTTGAGATCTATAGTCAAAAATGTATTTTCTAAGCTCTCCCTCAATAATAATAATAATAAAGAAAAGCCCGTTGAATTCCACAATTTTGGCACACCGAATATTTTGAAACACGACTTCTGGAGAATGTGTATTCATGTCAAAGTAAATATTCCCATCACTATTTTTGTGTTAATTTTGAGAACTTGACTTGGATAATTTTAACACTAAGTCTTCAGCAATGTAGGAATTAAATATGGGAATACAGTGTTTGTCAAGAAAGATTGAGATTATGAGATCTTTTTAGGGAAAGATGGAAGGACATAGATTTTGTTTGCCCATTATTTTAATTTTGTATGTTCTTCTTATTAAGATGAAGGGTGAAAAGTAAGTA